ACTATGTTTGTGCATGTGAGGGGTGTTTATGTATATACCTGTATATGTCTATATTTCTTTTATGTTATGTGATGAAGCCTCTGATAATCAGACCTCTGACAATCATGGTGAGAGTAGAGTAGTTTCTGCTTCTTCTATTCTCTGTCTTCTACTATCAGATTTCTAATTGAAAACATATCTAATGAGTTTCAGCACTGTTGAGGGTGTTTATGCGAGGATATATATGCGTAAATGCAAAACCCATGCATCCTGAGAGAGCACATGACATCCTGACAGAGCCCATGAAGAAGGAGCATTACTGCTTGCCTTACTGGCTGTAAATGCCAAGCCGTTTCCGCTGATGGCATCACAGCAATAATTATATTCTGAACTTCAGAGTGGACAACGTTTCTCAAAGGAACATGGAACTAGATTCCATGTTCATAGCGATGTTAAGACAAGGCCAGCTTTTGCACGTGTGTTGCTGCATGCAATGCAATAAATATAAAAACTGGAATTGCTAGGTAATAAAAGCATAACAAAATTGCTATCTGTATGTGGTATAACACAGATAAATCATATAAACAACTTTGTCTGGATACAAGATGTAAATTACGGCAGAGTTATCATAGTTAGTTTCAATGACAAGCATCAGTCAGCTCTTTGATCTGTGCAGATCTCAGACCTGATGCACGCTAAGCATCTTCCTTTCAGTCTAAATAGAAGGAGCAATTAAACACCCCTTTATGAAGGGGTAATGAGGAACAACTGGAGGCTATTGCCCAAGCAAATGGTTTTAATTACAAAGCGTGAGCCAGACTAAGCCCTGTGATTTGAAGAAGCTGTAGATTTCTTTCAGTGATTTGAAGGGGGAAAAAAAAGGAGTGTACAATATGTGCGATGGGGAGTGCCTCCTGAGGAAGCGCAAGGAGACTCCTTCCTTCTTGGGCTCCCTTTCCACAAGCACAGGACGAACTGCAGGAAAACGTGGAATTAATGAAGAAAAAACTGCCTGCTCTTGTTCCTGTTCTGGCAGGACAACAGAGCGTTGTGTACACCATTTGTGATATGTAGGATTACACAGTGAAATGTTCATCTCATTGGAAAATTATCTGCACCATTTTTAATTTTGGAAGAAATTCTATATTCTCCAAACTCAGCACTCAAATATTTTTTTAGTGTTTGTCCCTTTACCTTGTTTTGACTTTTCATCACCATACTGACTCAAAAGCTGGAGACAAGACATATCCTGTATTTAGGACAGGTTTGCTACAGTTTGGAAGCTATCCAAGTAAGAGCTGATATATGTATACTCTTCAGCTGTCTTAAACACCTCAGGTTAGAGAGGAACTACCTATAAGGAAACCCAAAGACTATTCGCTTTCCTGAGCACAGGTAGAACCCCAAGGACTGTTATGGGAGCAGTGATGTTTAAAAAGAACGTGCTGTTAGTCCCCTTACTATAGTCATGATTAATAATCTCTTATGCTGTCATTGTTAAGTGATCCAATAATGTGTTTAAATCCTCCATGAAAAGTTAGCTCTGTATGCTTTTATTTGCTATCTGTTTTCATGGAAAGTAAGTCAGGATACTCATGCCTTGAGTGAGGTTATGGGAAAGAGCATTTACTGGGCATCTCTGGAGTCAAAACTGACCGCAAGAGCAGCTACCTGGACTCACACCTGACTGCAGCAGCAGGTGCCAACTAATTGGTCTCCAGGTCCCAAGTCTGAGCCTGCTGAAAAATCCTGTCTTGTTGCCAGAGGCTTAAAATATCCCAAGATCCTCTAAAGGTGACCTAGCGTGGGACAGACAGGAAGATTCAGGCAGCTTCTTGCACACCTATTTTACCTTGTAAAATAGGCGCAGTCAAAGGAGACAAGAATATTTGAATGTGCAGACATATTCTAAAGCATATCTCTTTTCCTCTAGGCCCAGACAAATTTTGAGGTACACAATTGTGGCTGTGTGTTCAGGGGATTCTATAAGCTTTCTGTATTTGTTTCTTTTGGTAGCTGGGGAATCTTCCCACCACCTAGAAAATCCAGTCACCCACACAACAATTGAATGTCTTTTGGCACTGAAATTATACGCTGTTCCTAGCACTACACAACTGCATACATAATGTATAGGGACAACACCACCCCATCGCAAATGAGAACAGGAAAACGATTAATAATCACTACTGCTTGCTAGCCAGTGGAGCAGAGCATGGAAATCCTAGGGATGCTTGCCAGACGAATGATGCGGAAAGAAAAGTGCTGACTCCAGTGGAGCCCTTAGTATCTATAGGAGATGCAATGATGAGCCCTTCTTAAACTGACAGTGAGTAAAGGATGGTTCATTTTGCTCAGTCCAAACATGCTTACTCTGAAATCCCTCTCCTATTTGGCTGATTTCATGCACTGTCTCTGTGTCATACAAAGAACAAGCTGAAAGCTGTGATGTAAATAAGACATCTCTTGGATAAATGTGTTTCTTCTTATGTGCTTTATAAAGCAAAACCAAGTCAGCAATTCAAGATGTGCTTTGAACAGCACAGCACATGTCTCGGATGACCACTGAATCCTTATTTTACATTACAAAGGAAAAGAAGCAGGAGTCAGCTGAGACCAAACTTCCCAAAAAGGAAACTGAGCTGGAGTCATTTGCATTCTAAAATGGGAATTTTTTTTGGTCTCACTACTAGTAGTGTTATGCTGCGCTTTCACCAACACAGGATACCACTATGCAATAGACCACTGAATTCATAAGATAAAGGAAGATTGGTCTGATATTCCCTTGCAGCCAGTAGGGACAATTAGAATAACTTAAAAAGGAAAAAGCTCTGTTATGTACTAACCAACAGTGTGCATATTGGTTAGCTTATAGCCTCCCAATGATAGGAAAAAACCCTTAAAAGAATACCAAGTGTCTGTCAAGAACAAAGACAAGTTTCATGTATATCTCAATAATATATTTTATTTTTTCTCCTTTTTGTAACTCTTATTTCCAGTTTTGTATGCCTAAATATTGCAACTGGCCAGGACACTCTTCACTTGCTCTTAGCTTGTGTATAACAATTTGTTGTTATTGTTACAAGGATGCTTCAAGCTGAGTTCGTTGGCAAGTTGTTATTCTAAGAGCAATGAACCTACTCTCTGTGGAGTGCATTTGTAGGGATAAATCTTATAAATCAAATGCCCACTTCCAGTTAACCATGTGTGAGATCAACCATGTTGAATAAGGGTGGGGTTTCACTTTATGACTTTAATAAAAAAATTAGGAAGATAAACTAACAAACATAAGGTGTTAGCACAGTGAGATAATCCTTATTTATAAGCTGCATTCAACACCATTTCATTCATGAGTTCAGTTTCTACTGACCATCTGCCAAAGCTGCTGTCAGGCTTGACAAGTCTTCTGAACTTTGCCAGTCCTGGTGTTAGACTTCAAAAGATGCTGCACCCGCCCACTGCTATCACACCGATCCATAGACCATATTGTAGCAGCGTGAAGCAGAGAGTGGTTTTGGCAGGAGTAGAAGAGGCTATCCCCGCACTTCACTTTTCTCATTCCAAGGTAGCAGGCGTTTAGTTGGGTTAAGTGGACTGCTTGAAGAAGCAGCAGCAGGTTCAACATCAGAGACTTTCTTAGTAATCGGAATTGTTTTACTCAGAGCCATATGAGAAACAGTTGGAACAAAACTCTGTGTTGCAGAATTGCAGCCTCTCTTCTCAATCAAGGTTCTTAGCAAGATCAGGTGAAATGCTTTAGATATTTCGAAATAGTTTGTATGGCACAGAAGAAGAAGCTTTTAAAGGAGCTTCTAAAATCTAGATTATAGAAACCTTCCTTGAACCTGGAAAGCAAGTAAAACATGGGACACAGCTGTATCTATGACTTCCATCAGCTTTGCAGGATTTTTATCAAAGATTAATTATTTTGAAATTCTCTTTAATAAATGTAAGGACATAGTAGTCCCTACTAAATTTCCCCCTTTATATCCAGCCCTCAAACTTACACATTTCTGAGGCTTGTGGATGTTGATACACATATTTGTTGTATTGACGCAGAGGTTTTTGCTGACATTGCTTTCCGTAGACTCCCATGACTACCCAGCAACTCTGGGAAGAGGTTTCTTAACGTGTATTCCCTTCACCAGATTCACAGTAACTTGAGTAGGAACTACTCACACTTCTGTTTAAGAGTCTGTGCATCTGTTTTTGGCATGTCGGAACAGTAACAGACTATTTTGCTACAGGTGCAGAACACCTTGAGTTTCAAATCCCTGTTTGCAGACTTTCTCACCTTTTCAAAAATTCATATTCTGGGCTAAAACTTCCAAGTGTATTTCCAGTCTGGCAACCAAAGAAAGTAAAGAAGCATCCTTTAAGTATGCTCTGGTATGGATAGCACTTAGTATTTGTGCTATTATGCAGTAAATTGCATGTTGCTTACAAGATTGTAATTATTTGCTTAGGTTAACCCTGTTGTTTTGTCATTTCGTGTAAAATTATTGGATAGATCACAGCTTCCTTTAAAGCATTGGTCACCTTCTGTTACTGACCTCTGAAGCACAAAACTTCGGGTACGCTTGGCAAGCAACACAGATGTATGCTACACTTCCACTTCTCTTCAGTGTTTTTTTCCTTTATTGCCATACTGAAAATAGAAAACACCTTGTGAAATACAAAAGACTTGTGGACTCCGCAGGAGCTAAAATATAGGAATGTGTAGTGTCCTGAGGAGGCACATAAAGTTGGAGGTAGTCTTTCCTTTGAGCCATTTGAGGAGACGTATTCCTGGGACCATTCTTTCTTCCTGTTGGTAGATCTCCCATGAAAATTATAGTAAGCTGGACACAACTGTTCCTCAAAGCCAGCTCCGTTCCTGTAGGTGATCAGTTGGACAAGCCTAGTTTTTATTGCCTTTATCATGCCTAGAGTGTATGCCTGCATGACTTCAAGCATGCCAGTCTCCTGGATTTCCCCACCTACACTGAATACATATGAATTACAGGTTGGTTCCTGCACTACAGGTGGACCTGTGGCAGCCCAGCAGCACCTCGTACATCGCCGAAGGTACCATCACCGACCTGCGAGTACCGCACAACGCGTCCCAAATTCTGCTGCCCGCCCTCCAGCAGGCCAACATCCAGTACACGTAAGCTTGCGTTTCACTTTCTGTGCGTCACTCCAGAGGTCTCACCTCCAAGGCAGGTCTTTGCCTACCACACCAAGTGTGTTTGAAAACAGCGATTAGACTGGCAGAGAGCTAGACTTTCTCAAGAAAATGAACATTTTAATGGAAAAATGGAAAATCTCCCACAGGCAGGCAGTTTTAATTAAATGTCCTCCTTTGGAGTCAAAGTTAGTGTTTTCAAGGTATACAAAATCACATCTGTTAAGAGCAGGATGGTAATTACTGTTACTAGTTCCACAGTCTGCTTTGCCTCTATATTTAACAGGAGCTAGATTTGTTTACAAGCATGCTGTAAATGAGGAAGCAAGCATTAGTCACGAATTATAAAGGAATGTGCTAGGTTTGTTTTATAACTCTCAATTTCTAGTGACCCTGTGTAAGTCATGTAGAACAACTACACGTGAAGGATCCCACCTCATTTGTAGTGTTCTTTAAAAGCGTTCAGGACAGTTTTGAAATATGCATTTGTCATACGATATTTGTCAATATGCTGTATTTCTAATAGACAAGGGGGATGATCTTGTCATTAAAGCCTTATCAGTGAGCTGCTTAAGCGTGTGGATAACCAACTGATAAGTTATTTGAATTCTTAAACATTTCCTGAGTAAAGCCCTATATGACACTATTTATATTTATTTATCAATGAGAAGAGAATGCTGTAAAGTACATTGTATGTCGTATGCACCGTTATCAGTATTTCATTTGTGGTATGACAATGATCTCTTTCTATATTTGTCTTTCTAAAAATATAAAAACAAATATAAGGGAATTAATTACGGAGGCCGAGTAGCCAGAGCTCAGAGCCGCTTTCACACAGGTTCTACCCTGCTTCAGCTTTGTTTACGTTTGAAAATTAGAAGGTGATTTCTGTAATGCTTTTCCTGTGCCTGTATAAAAAAAGGCCCCTAATTACTATGCCCTCACAGTTGTATTCATATGTCTGCTGCTGTTCCTGCTCATAGTAATCACCTCTAATGACATGACAGAAGGCCATTTTGTATGTGTTATAAATGCAACACTTGAAGAACTTTACTTAGGTGCAAAGTGGAGCGTGCAAAGGTGAGAAGTGCTAGAGCAAATGTTCTCTGCAGTAACCTGAAAATGCATTATTGTACAAATACTAGATTACAGCGCATTGGTTTTCCACAGGCTTCTGTGATACAGCAGGCTTCCTGGTGCACCAGCTGAAGAGCGTGCATTAGAAGGAAGCTGGACAGCTTTTTGTTAGTTCCAAATTGTTTCTTCCCTCTCCGTCTGCCCCTCCCAGCCTGGTGGTGCCCTTGGAGCCCTGACGGTCAGACCCCCGGTAAAAAGGTCTCCAGCTGCCAAATGTTGCTCCCCTTGATGAAAGCCTAGAGTTTTTCCAAAGAAGCTGATGTCAGGTTTTTTTTTTTACTTATAATTTTGGCACACTATTGGCAAAGAAACTAAATGTTGGAACTTGAAAAACTGAGGCAAACACCTCAGTGTAAAATTTCAGCCTGACTGGGTGAAGTTTGGCTAAGTTACAAGAAATTTCTGAAGACAGGAAGCATTAAGTAAGCATAAAGTGACCAGCCCTTTTATTGCAAGGCAGGCTTCTCTTCCCAGCGTTCAACCCTATAACAAGACGGTCATAAAAAAGACCAGACATCAGATCAACTCTTATTACACCAAAGTTGTTTAGATTTCACTTAGATCTGACAAACTGAAGAGCCTAGGGGTGTTATAAGCATACATAGTACACAATCATTTAAAAGTAAATAAAGACTATCAAGTCTCATTTGGAGCACAGACACATAAACGGGAGTTGTGAAATTAAGTCTATGTATGTAAAATTGAACAAACGGAGCTTGATCCTGCTAGGTACTTTAACATACCACTCAGAAGTCAGCAAAGCAGGTAAGTGTTTGTTTAACATATTAAATATCCTAAACCTTTGAATAAAAATACTGCTTTAATCTAACTATAGGGTTAAGCACTTTACAGTTCTGGTCTTAGAGTGTATAGCACTTTGCAAGTCAAGACTTAGTTGGCTTAATAAAAGTTATTGATGTAGAACAATAAAATTCCTAATTATCAATATATTTGAAGGATGTGGATAACCTTTACTTTGATACGTATGTAGATAGATCTATTATCTCTAAGGTATATGCTGAGCAGTTCATTTAAGATCAGAGTGAATGCAGTTTCTCTCCCTTTTTTTCTGATCATTGCAGCTAATGCCGATAAAGCTTTCGAAGGCTAAATGTGGCCATCACTTTGCAGGAGCAATGAGCTAGTAGCATGGTGGTTACACATCGGCAGGTTTTAGGCATCCCATTTGAGAGATGGTGGCATACCAGGACTTCCCTCAGTTTTATATTGGTGTCGCTACTGATGTCAGTGATGATATTTGCAGCTCCTGCCGCTGTGTAATGGAAGGCATTGATGTGCCAAGCTCTTGAATATAATACGTTTTGGATGTTTTCTATAGTATATTTTTATATTTGTATGATTCTTTGGTTTTGCCAAAAAATAGGAAAAGTCTTCAGCTTAAACCAGTGTTCCCACATTTCTTTCTTCATTCCAAGAACTTCTCTATTTTTATGCAAAAGTGTTTAAGTTACACTTAATGTTGTTTCATATTTTTCATGATTTATTTTAAAATAACTGGCAAACAACTATTGCAGAGTAGAGATAAATATAAATAACAAAGCATATTTAAGATTTCATCTTTGTTTTTGTTTGTTTTGTTTCAGGCAGAATGATAATGCTGTTCAAGTTCTACATTTTTTATTGTTTTGCCTCTGAAACTTTTGGTTATATGTAATGTTCAGTACCACTACAATGCTCCTGAGAGAAAGCTTGTACGTGTTTTTCTAAGGCTAAAAAAATATTTTTACAGTTTTGAAATGAATTTTTGAATATACATGATCACATAATATAGCTGAACTGTAAAGGAAGACAACAAGTGCTGATATATAAACATAATTTGACTACCTATAAACAAATGAAAGTGGCTTCTTCTTCATATCAGCTACATTATTTATGTCATTCTGTTTTATTCACTTCACAAGTCCATTTTGAAGGCACTGTTTCATTCCAAAGCAACTAGAGTATTTAACAGCATATATTCAAATAAGCCTGAAGCATTTTGTTCTCAAAATGTGACAGATGAAGTAACATCAGGATGTTTTAATTCTTGGTGTATTTTTTCTAAAAGTGATTGTTGTTCTGATTTGGCTTGTGTGTTCTTCTCACTTTTCAATAGTAGTGCCACTTTTTTGTCTAGGATTCTCATATCAGATCTACAGAAGGCAGTAGAAAAACAAACCGGACGGACGTCACAAAGAAATCGAAGGTCCCTCCCTGCCTACAACTATGAAGTATATCACTCGCTGGATGAAGTACGTGGGAATTCATATTTCACTCCTTATCTATTACCCGATTGTCTTTAATAAGGGCCAAATTTCACTCTGTATACAAAGTTACAGTAGCTTGTTGATCTTCAGAAGTGTCCTAAATGTTTCTTCTATAAAAATAGGCTCCTTTAAAAAAAGACATTATTTTTAGTACTTGTAGCCAAGGTTTATTTTGTACGTGGAACTATCTTTGAAAGTTCCTGAGTTTTGTTTTAAAAATAAGTCTTCTGGGTTTAAATTCTGGTGGAATAACAGATTTCAGAGGCTGATAAGTCTCACTGAATCATTTAAGTAAGGAAAATAAGCACATGCTTAAGTATTTGCACAAGGGGCCCAAAGACTTTAAAGCATTTAGATAAAGGTCCTTTTATAAGGCATACCATTCCGAAAGATATCTAAGTAAATAATTGCTGTTGATTTCAGCATACCAGCATGTACAGATAACAGGTACCACTTACACCCTGACTTTGACAAATTCTGTTCTCATGATAGTGAGATCACAAGATGTTTGCCTGACACCACTGCGGTGTTCGTCAGGTTTTTAGATTTCAGGTTTTTCTTGAGCATGGTCTTTTCTTTCCTGACTTCATATTTATGCCTGGTGCTGCTGTCTTTCTTGATTTGAGCAAGTACCTGGTCAATGAAAGTGGCTTCTTCTTCATATCAGCTACATTATTTATGTCATTCTGTTTTATTCACTTCACAAGTACCTGGTCAAGAGTTCCTTTTGTAGGGCAGCAGATGAGGAAAATCAGTCCATTTCAAAAGGACTAAACTCTATATATGAGTTTTCCTATCAGGAACAGGAGTTCTTGGAAATCCAGGTGTTTCAGTTTGTTCCAAAACAACGTGACTAGACTGAGCGTATGGAATGCTGCACCTCCTCGAGATCTGTGAAACAAATAATGAAAGTAGGATTGAATTCTGCAGGTGCTCCTCTCCTACTGAATCTATTCACCATACTCTTTTCTGGCAGGAAGACTCAGGGGCCCACTTTCTTTATTCCATTCTTAATTTATTAAAGGAATAACTGGTTAGCCCGATTTTCAGTGAACAGCTAACGCATTCCAATAATATCCAATAATAAAATGGAAAAAAACATGCGACTGAAGGCTGCATCCATCCTCTGGCAGAAGAGCCATGACAGCCCATTGATAGTTCAAGTTTGAAAACAAAAGCAGACAAATAAAAAAGACAAAAACTACAGGAAAGTGAAAAAATACACTGAGGACTAGGCACTGAGTTAGTAATAGAAGTGTTACAGCTGCTTCCCGTGAAATGCAAAGATTGAAGCAGCAATTTTATTTCTGTTTTTGCAGATCCAGGGTTGGATGCATCATCTGAATAAAACTCATTCAGATCTTATTCATATGTTCTCTGTTGGAAAATCCTATGAAGGCAGACCACTATTTGTACTCAAGGTAAAAATTAAATAGTCATTAATCAGACCAAAGTCTGGAATCAATGCTAGACACTTAGTTGTTTATGTTATAGCAGGTACACCAGAAATGCAGGTGATCAGCCTTTCCTAAGGAGGAGTTGTTACGATCCAATTATCTCTCTGAATGTGGCCTCTAATGAACAACAAAGTAAAAAGCTGGAAAACTAAAAGCCAAATCCTATTCACTTGAATTGGATATACCTGGAGATTATAGGACAAGTAAAATTAGCAGTATTTGGATTTAAGGGAATTGGAAAGTCTTGTGTTTATAGCCAACTTGTAAAACAATTATCCTAGAGGTGGACCCGGACTGAGCAATCTCAGCCTCTCAACTCAGATTTTTAGGATGACCAATTAAAGGGCATCATAAAAGAGGGAAAAAAGTTTACTCGCAGTGTGCTTTCTTTTCATCCACTGTTGCAGAGTTCTTAAATTGGATTCTGCATCACACTATTCCTGTAGCCTTGTTTTTCCTCACCCTGCTCCATGTGATCTTTTTTTTTCCATAGATTCACTTCATTAGCCTGGCTGTACCTACATATCGTTTCCCTTTGAAAAGAATAAATTTGTGTTCCTTCATACAAGAAAATTCAAAATGTTCTAGTGTTTCTAATACTCTCTTGTTTTCTCGTTTTTGCTTCTCACTAATATCAAGAGATCTATTGATATTTCTATGAATATTTACACTTTAAGTTAGGTAAAAGATCACAGCCTTACAAGAAAGCTGTCTGGATAGACTGTGGGATTCATGCAAGAGAGTGGATTGGACCTGCCTTTTGCCAGTGGTTCGTGAAAGAAGTAAGTGTTTAATGATTTGCAGTCAGGCAGTTTCCTCAGTTCAATAAACATTAAATACTTGTTACAACCAATGCAATTTGTTATTAGTAAGAACAATAGCTAGCTATTACACGGCATTTTTTTTTATTTGTAGAACACTAAGTGCTTGATAAACGAAGCTAATAGTGACAGCCAGACACAGCTAGGCACAGGACAAAAAATATGCCAGACGCATATTGGCAGAAACATGAAGTATGAATTTATTCCAAGACCTAAAACTGTGGAAATTGTAATTCTGGTAATGGTCCAGGTAAATCCATGCCAGTGTGTACTGCTTTAGATCAGTTTGGTAATATCTTTACCTTCAGAACTTAGATTTAAAAAGACATTTCTCTTTTGTGTAATTCCAATGGAACGGGAAGCTAAATTCTTAGGCAAATGTGAACCAAAAGGATGGATTTTGTATTCTCTGAATATCAAGTTGTTCCCTAATGTTTCTTTTAGCCTGTCTTATTGAATTTATTCTCTCTTAATCCATGATAGTTAGGGCCCAGCCTTCATATCCCCAAATCTGTTTCCCTTTGTCATTTTTCAAAGCCTCAGGGAAATGAGAGCAATTGGAATTTTGTATTCCACTCCCCCAGTACACCAATTTTTTTTAAATCAGCACCTAGTCTCTAATCTGGGATTCATTTCAGATACGTGATGACTTTGCAAGATTTTGATTCTTATCCATAACCAACAAACTTCTGTTCAAGATGGGATATGAGCTACAAAGTGGAGCCTGTTTTACAATGCCATTGACAGAAGTCAAAGAAGGCTTCAAAAAAACCGTTAGGTGTGCTCTGAGTATTTTTGCATATCATTTTTTTGCACAAAATCAGTCATGCAAAATCTTCATTTGCAAGGTTCTTCCTATAAACAAACAATTTTCTTACTTCTCTTCCACCCAATCACCGTGTGATTCCACAATATATTAATAACTCCTCCAGTTTAGGATATCTGCCTTTGATTTTCTGGGATACCATAAGTCACTTCATATGGGTGAACCTCTGCATTGTGCAACACCCTGATGATATTCGAGTACATCTTTACTACAGTTAGCTGAGATGATCATATAACCAAATGTGAACCATGTGGACTTCCCCTCCCTCAGAAGTCCCAGCAGTATGTGGGGCAACTGCAGAAATAACAAGGGCACTGCAGTTCAGGTGAACCTCCCAGCATGGCTCTTGATGCATGGATAGGCTAAGCCAGTTTGAGAGGCCAGGCTGCAATGGCAATGCATCTTCTTATTAGGACTCCTGCTAGTGTACGAGTCAACAAACTTGCGGCTTTTTCTGCGCAGCTTTCATACCTGGGCTAGCAGGCTGCAATAAGGAATGGAG